AGCTTTTTATAAGTTTCTGATAAGATTCTTATATAAGATGTTGCACGGAAGTGGCAAGAAATTCACTGGTTCTGATAAGATTCTTATAAGAAACTTATAAGATATTCATAAGAAAGTAACAAGCCGTCTTCTCACTTTCTTATGAATATTTTATAAGATCAGATATAAGATATTTTATATCTTATCAGTTTCTTACCAATTTCCTATGAACTTCTTATAAAATTCTTATCTGATTCTGACAAGAAAACTGTCGTGATTTTGCAGATCCAGTCCATTGGTAAGAAACTGATAAAATTCTTATAAGATATTCATAAGAAAGTAAGAAGACGCTTTGTTACTTTCGTATGAATATCTGATAAGAATCTTATCAGAACCAGTGAATTTCTTGTCATTTCCGTACAACATCTTATATAAGAATCTTGTAAGAATCTTATCAGAAACTTATAAAAATTGTCAAAAATTCTTTCTCTAGGATAAATCCATCAGATATCCTAAATTTTTCTGCAAGTTAGTTTTTGTTGCAAAGATAAAAATTTGCAGCATGCCCATTCATAGAAGCAACATGGAATCCTGGAATTCTCGAATCCTTCAATTCAAAACTATCTAGTGATGCCATTCCACTGTCGAAATGGAAAACTACATCTCTAATAATTGTGGGATCCTGAAATCATGGAATCTTCAAATCCGTCGATTCTGTGATCATGTATGATATTGTATCTATGCATATATATATTTCGGACAAAATTAAAATTCGATCCAATTCCAGATTCCAGAGTAAACCATAGCTAGTTTGACGCATTTTATAATGTAAGAAGTGAAAGACATGCTGATAGTTCGCATGGAGGTCGTCATAAACAGTTTCTGAACTTAATTCTCACTATTCATGGATACCATGGTTTTGTGTTGAAATACTTGTAAAACAATGTATACCGTGTCAGACAAGAAGGCCAATTAAACAACATATTGTTTTAAAACCAATAATATCGTTGGGTGTGATGACAAGGCTACTCTAAGGTCATTCTAAACGAGAAGCTTGTGGAAGTATGGGTGAATAGGTTAATGTGGCATGTTCATACTATGAGTTTAGTTTGATCACAAAGATATTAGAAAATAAAAGTTTAGTGTAGATACTCTGATTTTCTTTGGGCTCTTTTTCTTTTGAACACATAAAATTAATCCATTGACTGTTTAAGACTATACTGTTTATATTGCGTGTTTGTTTTGATAAGTAATTGAAATATACTGAACAATTAAATCTAGATAACTTTTAAAACAAGGAAAAAGCTCTAACGTCAAATTAGTTATGATTTACTTTATGAAGGACATGGATATGACTTATTCCTGAATAGGAGAAACTAAGAGCATGATTTTAACGGAGAGTATCAAACCTTTTACCTTTATCAGTTGTAATCTCTTTTTTACAGGAAAATTTTAATTTGTCCGGATTGTCATTTTTTCAAGTTGAGCAAAATTGGAATTCTGATTTCGTTCGGACAGAACTGAAACTCTAATTTTGTCCGAAGAAACTCTCGTTACAACTAAAATTCTAACTTTATTCGGACAAAATTAGAATCCCAACTCTAGGCCAAATCTAGAATAGGACCGAATTTTAATTTTATCCGCAACATATATATACACGCCAATATACTCGTTAAGCGGTGTGCTACGCCTAATATGTGGACTAGGAAAAATAGGTCCGTAGATTATTCTCGTCAAAAATTTGTCCCTCTATCGGAATGGGAAAACTGCATCCCTCGTTCATTTGAAATAAATAGTTAAATCTTTTTTGATATCACAATGCCAAAAAAAAGGAAATACTATTAGTTTTATTTTTTTTTTTGATTAAAATTGATCTTTTATATGGTTTTTATTTTTCGATAGTCAATTTCTATCAGGTGCATGCATAGTGTATTATTCATCATCAAAGTCTCTGTCATCATTGTGACCCATCGTAATGAGACAACTTGTTATCACTGTAAATTATTACTTACATGGCCATTTTGTTGGACCTTGTCAACATCGGTTCAACGTCTTTCAGCAGTAATCTTTTTGTCAATAATATTTTAGATCTTTTTCAACAATTATATCTATCTCCACAATTGCATATAAAATCACATTTCAACAATTAACATGACATCCTGTATTTTACCAATAGTAATACAAAGATCTGAAATAAACATCTATAGATATTAAAAAATTATTAATTATATTAAACGGGATTTTTCATTTTATCATCCATTTTTAGTATGACCATGACCTTCAGTTTCAAAGAAAAAGAAAGAAGAAGAAAGAAATCCACAAATAATATCTATTGTTCATATTATACTCGTATTGGGTATTCAGATATTATTAACAAGTGAGTGTTTATATCGTTTAATCTTGGTAATAGTGGTATTGGACTAGAGAGAATCGGAACAAAAAAAAGAGAGAAAGAAGAAAGAAAGCGAAAAACTAAAACATATTTATTGCTACAGTTCAAAAGAGAAAAAAAAAAGAAAAAGAAGTAATATACATAGTTTTTGTTTGGATCTGATATATGTACTGAAATGTACACAAAACATAATCAAATCTAAGAAATATATTTTTTTATTCATCAAAAACATAAAGATTTAATGTATGTATAAAATTTATTGTTTTAATAGTATGAATATTTTTCTTTAAGAATCGATGATAAACTTGTTTAAATTCTAGATTAAATTTCGCTATTGTTTCTTTATATCCTTGAAAAAAAAAAGTGAATTTTACATGAAATTTTGTATATCTAAAAATCTACTTTGTTCAATGTTTGAACTGTAATATCTTATCTATAGAAGAAAGAGAAAAGACTGTGAATTATAATCTGCTGCTAATTATTCTCGTTAAAAAAATATATCTCCATGTGGTTATATAGAGAAGAAAATCAGTATAGTAGTTAAGATTATAGATATCAATTCTTGTTATATGATAAATCGTATAAACTAAATAAACTTCTTCAAGTGTTCGATTCGTTTCATCGAGAACATATCATATAAAAATAGGCATTATATTTATTCACCTTTCTTCTATTATTCACTAGTAATGTTTGTCTATACATATTCTTAATTAAAATAACATGTATACATCATTTTTATTTAGAAATGATATCCAAACAGTTGTTGATTCCTACTGTGTTTGATCTCTTAACATCTTGTGAACACAATGTAAAGAGAAAATAGTCAAATGTTGTTAACCTTCGCCATATTTTTATTTTTTTTATTTCAACAAATTTTTTGTTTAACATATGAATCATGTTGTTCATCTGATGATATCTATTTTACAAATAAAACAATTAGTACTACAACTTTATCATGTTCAAAAAATTATATATTAAAATTACGTTCAGTAAATTATTATTATGGAAATGGTTGTTCTCGAAGTAATTGTAAACGTCGTTCAACTAAATATTATTTAATGTGTAATAATTTAAAAACATGTAAAATATCAATTAAATGTGTCTATATGGATAATTATTTATGTCCCGAGTTAAAATTATTACCAAATACTCGTGCCGAGCATATCATTGTTGATTATGACTGTATTTCAACTGAACTTGAATCACCATTAATTGCTTTTAATCGTTTTATAAAAGAACAAAATTTAACAACAAATTATTATAAACCAATTCGTTCTCCATTTTTAGATGAATTGAATAATACTAGTACAACAACCACTATACCAACAATTAACAATCAACAAATTGATATTTATAATGAAAAAGTATGGAATGATTATATACTTAAAAATTATTTGACAAAACAACGTTCAACAATATTAATTGATAAACAACAACAACAACAACAACAACATCGATCTCTCGTAACTGATGTACTACTAATTGTTATTATTCTAATTGTATTTGCATTTGTTCTTATCATCTGTATGCTCATCGGACTTTTACTTTATAAAAAAATTTTATTATTGAACAATAAGAAGAAATGTTTATTACTTAAACATCAATATCAATCATTTTCACCGGGTGAAAATATGTACGATAATTTAAATGGGACAATGAAAGTGGATATGAATGGTACAACAACAGATGTGTAAATATTAATTATATTTATGAAAAAAAACAACAGAACAGGTACAAATAACAGTAGACATTTTTAATTTCAAACTAAATCTTTTGTACAAAAACTATTTTAAGAATAATAGAAACTTTGTAATAGTTTATCATATTAAAACAAATTTAATAATAATTTTTTAAACTTATAGTTGAAAATTTAGGTAATAATGCAAATTTTACCAAAAGTAAACCATAGGATAAAAAAAATTGTTTAGAAAAGTGCTCATCTGATAATATTTATATTTGAACAATTTTTCTAATTTTAAGGACAATTTAAATCAAATCGATTTGATTATAAGCCTAATTTATTGTATTCATATTCTTTTAAAATATGTATGATGTTCACGTACGTGAAATTTTGATGGATTATGTTCATTTCTAAATATATTAATGATGGTATCTATTTTCTCACATGTATAAGATGAACTCACAGTCCATAGATCATTACAACAACATGTTTTGTTGAAATGTCAAGGATTGAGAATGTTCAACATATGCATAAAGGGAAAACTATTAGGTTCTTTTTCTTTCTTTTATTCTGAACTCATGTACTACAGCTGTATGGAGAGTTCTTTTTCAAAATAAATAGTTGTTGTCAAAGTAGATAATGAACCACCGGAAGATGATGTAAAATATTGCTATGTAATGACATTCACTGTAAAAAGAGCAATTATGCAAACCAAATGAACGTCGTTGAAGATAATCTAAACAATTCATTTATATCTATAAACAATTATTATGTGCTAATCTTTCGCTAATGTAACAAAATCTACTCAAAGTCACACAAATGTTTAGTGTTTGTTGTTGTTGTGTTCATTCAACGATAAAAACAAGTCAGTCTACTATAATAATTATGTAATGATTACGTTACTTTTCATCTGAATTTTACGATTTTATAGTTAATTGCTTTAGATAGAAAAGAAATAATTTTTTTTTAAGGTTATCAATCTATTAAATCTCTTGTCAATTACGCATTGACTAGTATCTATTATTAAACATCATATGACAATCTTTAGCGTTATTTTTTCCAAGGATTGCTCTTATAATTCTTTTTATTTTATTTGACACAAACGTCCAATATCCAAATAGTTTTCTTAATGAGTAGTATTTTGTCAAAGATATATCTCAAAGTGTTATACTAAAGATTATTATAACAATTTATTTTTATCTTCTAATTTCATTTGTAAACAACTATTACGAGATTTCAAGTTTAAGGTCAAGTTGCTCTATTGACAGTAATAGACAAGTTTATTTCTCATTTTCATATATATTTCTGTTTAATCGAACATGTGCGTTCTTCAACTAATATCTAATCTACCATTATCGATTTTCTTCTCAAATTACTAAAATGTACAATTTGATCTATATCAATCGACGTTCCTATTGATTCTAAATTGAAAAATTTATCATTTATGTAGACGTCTATGTGAAAGAGCCTGTAAATGGAATAGTCTATGTTCATATGTAATAAACCATGATGTTTTAGAACTAAAAATTTTTTTGTTGATTTTACAAATAATTTTTATCGCATGAAATCACGAACATCAGTGAAGCCATAAGTAAACAGGGAAAAGTTGTAAATGGGTTCAAATAAGATAAAGCATGATCTAACCATGCTCAAAAGCCATATTAATGCGCGTTACATGACATTATATAGAATATCATTATTTTGCTTATAGACGTTCATTATACATATGCAGCCAACAGCAATTACAAACGCATTTCCTCATCTATTATTAATAAAAAGATGACCACAAATTTTCTCAAGAGGCACCACATCACATTCTCCTACAATTAAGTATTACTAACTTAATTAAATCATTTCTCGATTATTAATACTTTCCAGCTTTGATGGTTACATGCAAGAACAATATTTCTGGTAATTGAAAAACAAAACTGTACATTCAAAAGCAATCAGTCTAGTACAGAAGGAAAAATTCTACAAAATGATCTAGTGAAAAAATCTAATATCAAGAAATAACTGAAAGAAAGGTGTAATTAAGGATGTTCAAAATAATGTCAACCTTCAATATTTTCTTTCACCATTTAATACGTTTTTTAAATTTTCTTAATGATATGTGAGTAAAATTACAAAAAAAGAACATCTTCAGAAGAAACTATTAATCACATAATTTTACTGATTCGGATGATTAACAATTATGGTTATCTTCATTTTTTTATTTGTATAATAGCGCTATTCATAATTAAAAAAAACTGGCTATTTTATACGAAAAAACGCTCATACGCACATAATATTGAAATCATGAAACATATTACGTCGTATACAGTTCTGCTTGTGCATGTAAAAAATATTTCGGCCGAAGAATCGAGATCTAACATTCCATTTTAATGATCTCAGAAAAGTGCTATAACGATAATTCATAATCGATCCATTTACTTGATTTTATTGCTCCTGTTTTATCGTACACTGATTGAGCACGTAAATTCTTGTTGGAAGTTAACCATTTCAGACACGAAGCTCCATGGGAACGAGCGTAATCTCGACATCTTTCAATGAGTCTCGTAGCTATACCATGTTTACGTGATTCAGGCTCAACATAAAGATCATTCATAACTGCCACTCTACTAGCTGTCAATGTTTGCCATGTCCAGTATAATGTAGCAAAACCAATCGAACGGTTTTGTTGACGAACAATGAATTGTATGCCTTCATGTTCGGGATCTGAGATTAATTTTCGACATAGTAACAATAATAAATCATCCGTTGGTTGCGGTGAAATATTTTCGGTTTCTTCATAAAACGTACAATATGCTCGCATCAATGGCAACAAATCGGGAAGATCGGCTTCTGTAACAATGTCAACAGAATAATCAATGGGAGAATTCTCACTCATTATGTGTTCATCATCGCTGGTATCAGATAGTAAATAATTAATCTGAGTAATAAAAGATATTTCAGTTTTGTAAGCACGTTTACTGTTTTGATTAAAACAAATGGATGCTTTCGCCTCTATTTTGACTTAAACGTGCAGAAAAAAAAGCAAAAAACAATAAATACTTGTCTTTATCTACTAGACTATCTATAGTTAAAACGTGTTATTCTTCTGTTCTGTTCTGTTCTTGATTTCTATCATAGGAAAAAGAAAATTCTCCATTGCAATGGAGAAAATTTATTAAACTAAAGAGTGGGGATAAGCAGAAGTCACTGTCTTCCAGATAATCCCTTATATCATATTCGAAGTATTCCACACAGTGGACAATCACGTGGATATTAGGTGAAAAAATGAAAATAAACTTTTTGAAGTTTTGAGTAGTGTCATATAGACTTTGACTCATGACCTATTTAATAGTGTAAAATTTTTTGTTCTGTCTTTTGTATTAAAGTGGAAAAAGTTAGCACGAAAACGAGGTCAAAAAGTGTAGGGTGTACCGAAGAATAATATTTTTTATAAATTGTGCAGAGTGTTTATGGATAAATCAGACATATTCTGAAACTACATCCTCTGGTCAATCGATTTTAAAAAAAAAATTTTGTTTTTACACTTTTGCATCGGAAAAAATAGTTGTTCTTTCTACGCTGAAAGTGCCCAGCCAAATCTACTCAGTGTTCCAGTATTCCAATTAAGAATCCACCAATCAGATATTAAATAGAATCGAGTATTATATTTAAGTCACAAATAATTATGGTGCAAACTAGAGATTGTATGTGTATGATTGTATAAGGGATCAAGCTAACAATGGGGACGCTGAAGTGTTGGCGTTCAAATTTGACAAAAAACGTTTCTATATCCTTCATTATGAAAGTTTAATTGTAATAGGAAATTAATGGGTGCAATGGCTTTGACTTCTTAAAACAGACACGAATGCGTTACATTATGGAAAATATTTGGCCTATTAATGTATAGATTGGACGAATAATCTTCTCATCAACGCTGTTATTCACCTATTCCATTTTGTTCGATGTGAAATTTTATTTTACCATTTTAACATTTAATTAGTCATAATAGCCTCGACACAATTCACTACGAACTCCATTCATTGAATGTTCTGCCATAAAACTCTTTTTGAAAAACGTTTGAAAATAAAGTACATAGAGACATCCCGTTGTCACTATTCGATAGCCTAGAGCCATCGTTAGCTATTTCACCGAGAATGTAAAAACCCATAACTCACTCAAAATCGATCGAGACTACATGGGTTTTAAGATATACTCTGTTTTGCCTGTATCATACGATAGAGTCCAACAAACATTTTAAAAACTAATAAGAAATATCTTGGTTCGCTATAAGATTTTCTAGCAATCAATGATATTACTGCAGAACCATGTTGAGCAGATACACAGTACACCGTGATATTCAGCAGTAGTTTCGACCGATTTTGAGTGAATTATGAAGTTTTTCATGTTCAGTGGAAATAGCTAATTCCTTTAGCAATGCTAATTCAGGAATTGCTAATTTTTCTAACGATGCAATATATTGAAATCTTTCAATTCTTCCACCGTCCTGGGATTTATCAAATTGAATCTTTTTGTACGCTGTTAGTCTAGGAAGAGTTTCCAGCAGAAATATTGAAATATTTACTTTAAAAGCAAAGCTTGAGCTAAAATCTTGATTTTAAGAATGGTAGTAAATATCGAATATATCCTGACTGTCTGATTGATATGTTAAAAACGGCTTTATATATT